TTTATTTTGAACTGTTTTCATTGTGATCTGAGAATGTGGTCTGTATACCAGTCCTTTGAAACTTCCTGAGGCTTTACAGCTGGTCCATGTGTGTGGCTAATATTCATAAATGTTCTATGTGCATTTCAGAAATAAGTATTTTGCATTTATGTGTAATTCTTTGTATGTGCCCATTATACCAAGTTGTTAATTGTGTTTTTTGAACCAGTGCTGATATCTTTGTCTGAGACCTCATTACTGGGTGAGTTGTGTTGAAGTCTTTGTGATTTGTCTAGTTCTCCTTTTGATTGTGTCCATTTTACTTTGAGATATTAGATACCTATGAGTTTTAGAACTTTGAATTTTACTTTTTATTATTATAAGGTGGGTATTTTATTTTCTAAAAGTTTACATCTATTAATATTTTTTGCCTTAAGGTCTCCCTTGTCGTTACATTTTAGGTGTTTACTTGTAAATAGCATACAGCTGAATTTTGTTTTTATTTTGATATTTTTTGTTCTTACCAGAGCACTTAAGTTACTTAAATTTTGTGTAATTATTATGCATTTGTTATTCACTTATCTCCATCTTCTTATTTGTAATTATTTTAAACATTTAATTGGAGGATAATTACAGTCTCGTGATGGTTTTTGCCATACATCAACATGAATCAGCCACAGGTATATGTGTTTCCCCCCATACTGAATCCCCCCCCACCTTCCTCCCCACCCTACCCCTCCAGGCTGACCTGGAGCCCTGGCTTTGGGCGTGCTGCCTTATGCATCCAGCTTGCATTGGTCATTTGTTTTACATATGGTAGTGTAAGTGTTTCATCATCCCACCCTCACCTTCTCCCACTGTGTCCAGAAGTCTGTTCTTTACTTCTGTGTCTCCTTTGCTGCCATGCATGTAGGATCATTGTTAGTCTTCCTAAAAATTCCATATGTATGTGTTAATATACAGTATTTGTCTTTCTCTTTCTGACTTACTTCACTCTGTATAATAGGCTCCAGTTTTATCCACCTCGTTAGGACTGACTCAAGTGCATTCCTTTTTATAGCTGAGTAATATTCCGTTGTGTATAGGTACCACAACTTCATTATCCATTCATCTTCTGACAGACGTCTAGGTTGCGTCCACGTCCTAGGGCTGCAGTGAACATTGAGGTATATGTGTATCTTTCATTTCTGGTTTCCTCGGGTAGGAAATACAGTGGGTCGTATGGCAGTTCTATTTCCAGTTTTTAAAGGAATCTCCACACTGTTCTCCATAATGGCTGTACCAGTTTGCATGCCCACCAGTAGTGTAAGAGAGTTCCCTTTTCTCCACCCCCTCTCCAGCATTTATTGTTGGTAGACTTTTTGATGATGGTCATTCTAACCAGCATGAGGTGATATCTCATTGTGATGTTGATTTGCATTTCTGTAATAATGAATGATGTTGAGCATCTTTTCATGTGTTTATTAGCCATCTGAATGTCTTCTTTAGAGAAATGTCTGTCCACTTTTTGATTGGGTTGTTCGCTTTTCTGGTATTGAGCTGCTTGTATATTTTGGAGATATTATTTTCTCCCATCCTGAAGGCTGTCTTTTTACCTTATAGTTTCCTTCATTGTACAGAAGCTTTTAAGTTTAATTAGGTCGCATTTGTTTGTTTTTGTTTTTATTTCCACTACTTTGAGAGGTGGGTCATAGAGGATCTTGCTGTGACTTATGTCGGAGAGTGTTCTGTGTTTTCCTTTAAGAGTTTTATAGTTTCTGGGGTCTTGTATTTAGGTCTTTAATCCATTTTGAGTTTATTTTTGTGTATGGTGTTAAAAAGTATCCTAATTTCATTCTTTTGAGTGTAGTTGACCAGTTTTTCCAGCACTGCTTGTTGAGGAGACTTTTTTAGCCATTGTATATTTTTGCCTCCTTTGTCAAAGATAAGGTGTCCATAGATGCATGGATTTATCTCTAGACGTTCTATTTTGTTCCATTGATCTATATTTCTGTCTTTGTGCCAGTACCATACTGTCCTGATGACTGTAGCTTTGTAGTATAGTCTGAAGTCAGGAAGGTTGTTTCCTCCAGTTCCATTCTTCAAGATTACTTTGGCTATTCAAGGTCTTTTGTGTTTCCATACAAATTGTGAAATTATTTCTTCTAGTTCTGTGAAAAATGCCATTGGTAGTTAGATAGGGATGCATTGAATATCTGGATTGCTTTAGCTAGTATACTCATTTTCACTATACTGAGTCTTCCAATCTACAAACATGGTATATTTCTCCATATATTTGTGTCATCTTTGATTTCTTCCATCAGTGTTTTATAGTTTTCTGCATACAGGTCTTTTGTTTCTTTAGGTAAATTTATTTCTGAGTATTTTATTCTTTCCATTGCAATGGTGAATTGGATTGTTTCCTTAATTTCTCTTTCTGATTTTTCATTGTTCGTGTATAGGAATGCAAGGAATTTCTGTGTATTAATTTTATATCCTGCAATTTTACCATATTCATGGTTTTTCCACCCTATCTACATTTCTTTTTCCTCTTCTTTCCTTTCGATTAACTGAAAATTTCTTTCCCACATACAGTGTTCTTCCTGTATTTTAGAAATGTAATATTCCTATTTTTCTATATGTTTTACATAGTACTTAACTCATCAAAGTCTAACTCTATAAGCCATTTTATATTGCTTTAATAAGATATTTTGTTAATGTCTTTATTTCTCTTCGGTTCCTGAAATATATTTCCACTGGGAATACTTTTTCTCCTCTACTTTGGAGCAGTCACTTCACTGTCTTCTGGCTTTCTTTGGTGGTCAGAAGAAGTAAACTCTCTGATCAGTGCTCGTTGAGAGTATCCCCCACCCAGATTTGGGTCCTTTTAAAATCTTGTTTTAAAGGTCTTGCAATTTCACTATATTTTATTTAGCTATGGATGTCTTTTTATTTATTCTGACTGGGATTTGATGGAATTGACTCTCTGTATTGTATATTGGTGTTTCTTGTTAAAAAGTTGATCTTTTTAGTCGTTAACAGAGTGCTTCTGTTCCATTTTGATTAGACATACATGGGACATTTTCTCTTTATCCTCCATGTCTCATGTTTTTCACCTCTTTGTGTATCTGTGTTGTTTTCTGGATAGTTTCCACAGATTGCACTTCCATGTCATTAATATTCTCTTTGTGTGTAGTCTGCTATAAAATTATTCATTATTTTTAGTAATTTTTTAAAATTTTTGTAAGTTCTTTGTATTTTTGAATGCTTTTAAATTCATTTTCAAGCCACCTGTTACTAGAAATACATTAAACATGTTTATTTTATATTGTGTCTTGTTAATTTCACTATACTGAGGAGTTTTGTTATGTCTGATTCTGCTGTTATTTTTGTAGGCCATTGCTTATGCCTATTTGTGGTTGTATTTCCCTGTGTGTTTGGAGATGTTAATACTGTGAGCTGCTCATTTTCCTTGCAGTTGTACGTCTGGGGTTCCATAAGCCCTGGAATGAAGGAGAGAGCCTCTAGAGAGGATTTGCTTCTCTCGTGTGACTGAGGACATTGCCAGTTTGGGACCATGCTGTATTCTCTACTAGAAGTTTTCTTGGACCATTCTGATAACATTTGGGCTGTGAAGCCAAGTGAGAGTCTACTCCTGATTATACATCCTTAGATTCTTTTTCCTGCTTTGCTTACAACTGACTTTCAAGACAAGCAATTTTCCTTGCTTTTGTTGATCAGAAAGTATTGATTCCCCATCATATTGAAAGTGTAGCCTCAAGCCCAGCTTGAGGAAGAGTATCCCCTACTGGATGCTCTGTATCAGGCAGGTCCTTTGAAGCCGTGAAAACAGGCTCAGTGGCGTCAGTAACTGGCTGAGAAGCAGGCTTTAGAGCTATGATCTCCCAATTTCTACACCCTCTTAATTCTTGGCCTGAGGATTCCTTATATTTCTTCCAGCTCATAGATGCATTTAAGATGTTTTAAAGTTTTACCTAGCATGTCTAGTTTTCCACAGAGGATTATCCAGGCACCTAGTCTACCATCCAGAAGGAGAAGTCCTTCTTGAAGTGGTTGGTATAATGAATGATTGACAACTAAAAACTGAACGCTTTTGCCCCATTCTTGCATTTCTGTGTAAAACCAGCTTGGGCATGTGCTTACGAATTTGGAGTATCAGTTTTTTGTGTGTAGCTAGCTTTTATGTATGTTGGAGAAGGAGATGGCAGCCCATCCAGTATTCTTGCCTGGAGAATCCCGTGGACAGAGGAGCCTGGTGGGCTACAGTCCATGGGGTCTCAAGAATCAGGCATGACTGAGTGACTAAACCACCACCACCAGCTTTTGTGTGCTGTTGACATTTGGACACGTGAAGATTCTGTTCTTAAAGTCCATTCCCTCCCCTAGAAGATCCTCCTCCCCTGCCTCCTGCTCAAGCTATCCTGGGGTTGCCTCATCCCTGCCCTTCTCTCCAGTGAGAGCTGCCCCTCCTGCAGCTTGGCCAGGACTCACTGGTGCTTGCCTCCCCACAGACAGAAAGGAAGGTGCTGTGTGTGGTTGCCAGTCTTGGATCCCACAGCACTGGGGTGTTGTGATAGATGACTGGCACCTGGTTCTCACCCTCGTGGCACCCTGCCTGACTCCCTCCTCTCACCTGGAAATGCCGGCAGTGGGAGCACCACTCACTGGGCCAGACCAGTCACCCTTGGTTGGGTCCCAAGAGCTAGTGATCCAAGTTGCTTGTCGACCTGGGGCAACAAAGTGTCCCAGGTAATGGTTGTTGAGCAGCCCTAGAACTCACCAGGGCCAGTGTTCCCTTGGAGAGTGGTGAGGGCCTTGTCTTGGCCCCAGGCCAAACGGTGACTGTCTGCTGGGTGCCGCCTCCGCCCTCTGCAGCCTTCCTCCCCAGACCTTGTCCCACCAGGGCTTCTGCCCCCTTGCCCCATCCAGACCAGCGCTCCCCTGGGCCACCTGTGGGCTGTCCCCCGCTCTCCTGTGTCGGCCTTGTTTCACCCAGTCGTGGACAGATGTAGGGACAGGGCCATGGAAAACTCCAAATCCAAGGTTTTATTATTACTGGTTGGAAGGTGCTCACTCACAAACAGTTCTGCAAAGAAGAACATTGAACAGCTCTGCCACAGTCTGTGTGGGGCCGCCTGCCCACCCTCCAGTGGGCACCCTAAGGCATTTCATATGTTGGTGTTTTCACTTTTGTATTTTTATAAAAACAAAACCAGTGCTGGAGTAGAAAGTAAAACCCTGTGATGAATTTTCAGGATCAAACCAAAGTGAGAGGTTGAAATAGGAGTTCTGAGGGGCTGGGACAGTGGCCACAGGGGTCCAGTCCCATCACCCCCCTCGGTTGGCAGAAGCCACTGGGAGGGGGTTTGAGGAGAGGATGGGGCATCGCTGAGAGGAAGGCCAAACTCAGACAGGAGCAGCCTGTCTTCATCATTTTTTCACTTCTACATACCATAGAAATTTAAGCAAAATAGCTATTTTATATATATTTATATCTCATATATATAAATCAGGCAAATAAAGAGTTCAGGGGTGCTGAGATGGGGTACCCCAGAGGCGGGACGCTGGGTTCTCGGGTGCCCAGGCCACCAGCCCAGGCTGGGCCGAGGCTTGGTTCTTATTGCTGACTTGGGCGTGGTTCTGTGGCGGAAGCACCTGCAGGCCCGCCGGGCCCCTCGGGGCTGGGGAGCAGCCCAGGTGGCCGGGGCTCCACAGGGGCGGTGGTCCTCAGACCCACACGGCGGCCCCTCGGGGCCCCTTCTCAACCGTGGGTGGGGCTGCAGCTCCAGAGACTTGTGCTCTCCTGGTTCCTTTCTCGGGGGTCCTGGGCTTCGGGGGGGCCGGCAGCTTGGAGACAAAGGGCCTTTCTGTTTGAGGTGCACGGTGCCTCTGACTCTAAAGGGCGTGGCTTCCCGATGTCTTAGAGAGAAGGGGCTCTTGCCCGGACACTCGTGTGGCAAGAAAGCACACTTAGCAAGTTGCCCACCAAGTGCTGTACTGAAAGCATTTACTAAACATCTCAGCTGAAAAGAAATGGGAGAGAACTTTTTCTAAAAAACTCGGAAGTGGCTCCCTGGGAGGGGCCGGTTCCTCCCTGGGGGGCTGGCGACTGAGGCAGCCCAGGGCCTGGACCAGCCTGCCTGAGTTGTGGAAACTGGAGCTGGGGGCCCCAGTCAGTGATGAAGGGGGGTGGGCGACCCGGGGCACCTGGGGGCTTGAGAGAACCCGGGTCAGCACTTCCTCCTTCCAAGGTGAGAGCCCCAAAAAAGTGTTATTAAAAAACAGAAGGGAAAGGTGGGATGGGAGGGCCACTGAGTACTAAATTGAGTGCATTAAACAGGAGGTGGAGCAGGCTGTGCAGGCGCCTGTATTTGCAGGAGGGGGTGGTGCTCAGAAGATGTTGGGGCACATGTGCCAGTCCTGCTTTTCCTTGGCCTCCCAGTAGCCTCCCTTGTACACGCAGGCCATCTCCCCGGTCAGCGGGTCCAGCTTCTTCTCGAACCACAGCGGCACATACACTTCGGCCTCCTTCTCTGCTGGGCGGCACGGCGGGGGGCAGGGGTGGGTGCCGCGTGCACCCGGGAGCCACTCCCTGTCCCCCTCCCCGCTGCTGGGATGCCCCCGCCTCTCCCACACCCCTTCCTGCCCCCAGCTCCTCCCAGCCCCTGGGAGACCCCTGGCCTCTCCCGCCGGCCGCTCTCCCCGCGGCTCACCTTCGTCCACCCCGCAGCCGCGGCTGCAGGCCTCCAGCCGCCGGCGCCGGTTGACGCGCTGCTTCTCCTCCAGCCGCTGCTTCTCCGTGTTGGCCTCGTCCCAGTGGCCCTTCTCCATGAGCCGCTGGTCCGGCCGCAGGCGGCTGTCTGTGGGCGCCACCCCCTCCTCGTGCTCGTTGAGAGTCAGGGCCAGTTCGGAGAAGTAGTACATGTTCTCCGCGTTGTCCCTGCGCGGTCCCACGGGATGAGCAGTCAGGACACACTCGGCCACCGCGGCTTCCCCTCCTGTGCGTCCACCCGCTGAACTCCCAAACGCAGCCTGGCGGCCACCTCACCCTTTCCTTCCTGCGTTTTCCAGGCTCCACCGACCTGCATCTGCTTTGCTACCTTACACTTCTCTGGGAACTTGCCCATTTCATCTGATTTTTCATGTTATCTGCCTGAAGTGTTTTATAATGTCACACCTCCTTTAATGTGTGTGTGAAAGCATGTCCCATGCTGCTTTTTTGAAGCCTTAAAAGCAGTAGCATGTATTGCTGCTTTTTTGGACCTCAGGCGTTTTGGATTAGTCCTGATACTTCATACATTGGCCCTTACATGGCCTGCTTGTATTAATGCAACCTTCCCACCTAACCAAAAAGTAGAATCCTACAAGATCTACATGTAACCATAAGGATGACTCACCAGTCCACTCCCTTCTCTGGTAGCCACTGGCAGGTCTCCTGGGTTTATCAGTACTTCGCTTTTCTTTTAGTACAATTTTATTGCATCTTTGTGTAGCCTTAAGTGTGTATGTATGTCTCTGTATGTATTTTAGTTACTTGTTTTTAAGTATAAAAAGAATGTCATGATATATATAACTTTCTGGGACTTGCTTTTTTAGACTTAATGTTCTATTACTAAGATTTAACTATATCGTATGTTGCTGTTCATTTGTTTCATCTACTGTAAATACTGCACTATGTGAATATACTGGTTACTCATCAGGTAAATTTGGGTTGTTTCATTTGTTTCCAAGTTTTTGCTTTGTAGTAATCTTACGCATGTTTCTTGTTATACACTTACAGGAATTCTCTTGAGTACCCAAAGTAGGATTTCTGGGCTACAGAGTTTGTGATGTCCTTCTTTAGGAGGTAAGGTCACACTGCTTTCCATCATGGTCCTACCAGCTCACACTCCCACCAGTGATGTATGAGATACTGTGGATCCATATCTTCAACACTTGACATCACCAGACTTTTCATTTTTTTCAAATCAAACGATGGTAAAACTGCACATCTCATATGGTTTCGATTTGCATTTCCCTGATTACTAATGATGTTGATAATATTCATATGATGACTGGCCATGTTTCTTTTTCTGCGAAATTCTTGCTAATGACCCTTGCACTTTCCTTGCACATTTTTTTGCTTTATTAGAGGTTTTTAAGCTTTTTATTGTTTACTTTTGGCTGTGCTGGGTCTTGGTCGCTCTCGGTGCGGTAAGCAGGGGCCGCTCTCCAGGCGCGGTGCCTCTCGCTGCGTCGGTTTCTCTGGCTCTGGAGCAGTCTCCAGGATGCGAGGGCTGCAGCGGCCGCCGTTCCTGGGTGCGGGAGCACGGGCTCAGGAGTTGTCGTGCACGGACCTAGTTGCATGTCCGGGATCTTCCCAGACCAGGGATTGGACCCATGTCTCCTGCATCGGTAGGAGGATTCTTTACCACTGACTCACCAGGGAAGCCCTAGCTAGATCATCTTTATGTATTCTTTTTTAAATTATTATTTTTAATTGTAGTAGAATACATACGTATTCTTAATACGAATTGTCAGGTGTATATATTGTGATTACTTTCTCCAAGTTTATTGTCTTTTCACTTTCTTTAAATCATCTTTTAATGAGCAAAATTTCTTTTAATGAACAAGTTTAATTGAATACATCACTGTTATTGTCTTACTTAATATGTAGTTCCTTAAGTTTTAGAAGATACTCATCTGTCTTTTCTACTTAGAGTTTAACTTACTGTTTAACAGTAAGTCAGACTTAATACTTAGATTCTAAGTCCTTTATTTGGAGCTGATTTTTGTTAACAATGTGAGGGAGAGAGTCACTTACTCCTTTTCTACACGGATAACCATTTTCTCTAGATCCTTTTAGTGGATGGTGCCATCTTTCCATGGGTAGGATAATGCCACCTTTGTTATGGAGCCAAGCTATATACATGTCCAGGGTGCTGTTTCCAGGCTCACTACTCTGTTAAACTACAGCTTCAGAATAAGTCCTGGGGTCTAGTAGGACAAGTCCTCTTTTTTCTGTTTTTCTTTAGAAATATCCTGGCCCTTTATTCTTTAATATAAATTTGAAAATCATAATATCAAGTTCCATGAATAGTTTAGTATTGGGATTTTGCTTATTTGCTGACTCTGTGTATGCTAAGTCACTTAAGTTGTATCCGACTCTTTGTGATGGTGTGGACTGTAGCCTGCTAGGCTCTCTGTCCATGGGATTCTCCAGGCAAGGATAGTGAGGTGGCCATGCCCTCCTCCAGGGTATCTTCCCAAGTCAGGGATTGAACCCATGTCTCTCATGTCTCCTGCATTGGCATGTGGGTTCTTTACCACTGAGCCACCGGGAAAATCACTATTGGGATTTTGTTTGATTTACTGACTCTTTAGATCATGATATTTTTATCAATAGTCTTTCTACCCGTGAACATGGTATCTTTCTCCATTCATTAAGCTCTTTCTTGATATCTCAACAGAGTTTTATGCTTTTCTCTGTAGAGGTCTTGCATATATTGGAAGATTTACCACAGGGTCCTTGATATTCTTTGATATGATAATTGGCGTCTTCTCTTAAACTGTACTTTCTGGTTTTCTTCTTTTAGTGTGTAGAAATGCAACTGACTTTTGCATGTTAATCTTACGTTGAGGCACATAAGATGCTTTTTCTGTATCTGTTTAGATTAGTTAATGTAACAAATTGATTTATGGGTTTTCTAGTATAAAATCATCCTTGTGTACCCAGGATAAACTCAAAATATGATTGCAGAATGTTTTTGTTTTGTTGTTTTTAATACTGTTGGATTTTCTGATGTGTCATTTTGGGATTGTGCTTATCCATGAGTGAAAAAGGGTTTATTATTGTGTTCCTACTGCTCTTTTATCCTAATTTGGTACCAGCTATCTTATATTTGCCTCACAGTATAATATAATATTTCTTCTTTTTTCTATGGTCTGGAAGATTTTGTGTAAAATTGGGATATTTATTTATTTCTTGAAAACTTGGTAGAATTCACCAAGTGACTCGGGCTTTGTGTTTGCCCTGTAGGAATTTTTTAACCACAGCTTCAGTATCTTTAATTGTAGGACTGTTCATGCTTTTTTATTTCTAGACTCAGTTCTACAAGAAAAACTGTATTTAGAAAAAATATATTTTCTAAAAATTTGTCTTTCCAGTCTGAATTTTAATGATCTCTCTATACTTTAAATATAATAAACATAATGAAACATTAATAATACATATTTCTATATTCTCTTGATCAGTCTTGCCAGTAGTTTTCTGTTTTTTCCCTCAAAGATCTACTTTTTAAACTTTATTTTACTTCTACTATATTTTCTTTTTTCTTCCAGTGTGTATGTTGAACTTTCCCTAATTTCTTAGAATGAAAGAGACTTTATAAGCTTATATACCTATTTAAGGCAAAAATTTCCTTTGAAGCACTGCCTTTGGTACATCCAGCCAGCTTTGTTTTTTTTTTTCTCAGAAACATTTAAAACTTCCCATTCTAATTTATTATTTTCCCCATGACTTACTTAGCAACTTAATTTTTTTTCCCAAATATGTGGGGGACTTTTTGACGTATTGTGTGTAACTTTTTATTTGTCTTATCATAGATTGTGTGCCACCTTCTGTACATTTGTTGAGGCTTTCTTTTGGGTTTAGTGCACAATTGATTTTTGCATAAATTCTGTGTATGTTTGAGAAGAAGCATGTTGTCTCTTGCAGCCATAACTATATGTATATCCTGTGGCTTTTTGCTCTCCATTTTGCTGGGTTTTGTTCCCCCATCTAACTCTCAACAAGTGAGAGGAGTGTATTGAAATCTGTCTCCATTGTGGTGGCGGGTGATCCACTTCCCCCTTTCCTGTCAGTATGTACTTTGTGTATTTTTGAGGCCCTTTCACCACATGCCTACTGTCTGCATCATGCATGCTGTTTATATCTTCTCAAAGAACTCAGTCTTTTATCATGTAGCAACTCTTCCATTCCTGATAATGCTTTTGCCTGTTTTTACTTGATAATAACATAGCTGTTATAGTTTTTTTGGTTAGTGTTTTCATGATATGTTTATCTTTTACTTTCAGTCTTTGCCCATCTTCATACTTTGGACCTTTCTTAGAAGGTGCATGCATCTGGATTTTTAAAAATTCAGTATTTTGCTTTGTAACTAGTATTTCATCTATATATTATGCTTTCTCTGTTAACTGTTTTTATTTGCCTTTCTTTTTAAAAAAATATTTTAAGTGATTTAAAAATCTTCTATCAGTCTCTGCCTTCACATCCCTTGGTGTCCTTTGTCTCCCCAAAGCCCATCGTGTTAACATCATCTACACTCTTTAATTCTGGATTATTGTGGGAATGTTTTCTCTTTTTTTCTTTGGTCTTAATGTAATTACTTCCACATACACAATCTTTTATTTCATGTAATGTACTATAGCACCTTCTGGATTTTTCCCTCCCCCTTTTAAAGTTAATGTCCAATACGGTTTTCTTTGTGGGTTTTTGTGTGCCAGAACTTTTGGGGCTGTTCACCTGAGAATTTTTTTTTTTTTAAATCACAGCCTCATATTTGAATGATAGCTCGACTGGACAAAAACTTTTACCTTCTAATTTCATTCCCATCATTACTTTGAAAATATTACTCCAACATTAGCTGTTAAAAAAATCTGATGTCAATTTGATTTTTCATTCTCTACTGAAATCTTTTCTATTGGGAAGCTATTAGAATTTTCTCCTTGGTATTAGTTTTCAGTATAGTGTGATCTAGGCAGAAGTTTTTCTTTATTTTTTGTTTCTGGAATGCTAATGGGCCCTTTAAACACAAGATCTTTCATGTCTTCATTTTTATACAGGGAAATTTATCTCCATTATTTCTTTCAACTATTTCTCTCTCCTATTTTTCTTTTTCTTCCTTTCCTTTTGGGATCTCAAGTAAGCATTAATTTTGTGGTTAATCTAGGAATTACAATATACATAGTTGACATAGTCAGAAGTTAGTGTGCATCTTGAACCTCCTCTTGAGTAGCAGAAAGGCCTTTGAAAATTTTCCTTCCAGTTAATCCTTTCTGGGGCTTCCCCGGTGGCTCAGAGGGTAAAGAATTTGCCTGCAATGAGAAAGACCTGGGTTCGATCGCTGGGTTGGGCAGATTCTCCTGGAGAAGGGAACAGCTACTCACTCCAGTATTCTGACCTGGAGAATTTCATGGACTGAGGAGTGCAGCTGTGTTTAATGTTTAGATTTTGAACTTCATAAGAGGTTCTTATTTCTTCACTGTTCATGTAGGTTTTGTTCCTCATTTCACACATCTTGGTTTTTCCATCTGGGAGTTCTGTCCTTTAGTACAGGTCTGCTGGTGGCAAAAGGAGTTGTTTGAAAATGCCTGTTTCAACTTCAGTGTGTAAAGATATTCTTGCCCTGTGTGCAACTAATTCTAATGTGGCAGTGAGTCTTTGTGCACATGGAAGATTTCATTTGACTTTTTTCAAGTTTCTGTGACATTGCCAATGAGGAGATGTCTGTCTGTCTTGTTCCTTGGAAAGTAAAGTCTTTCAAAAATCTAGCTACTTAATATTTTCTCTGATCTGGTTTCAACATTTCATTGTATAGATTTAGATGTGGAAAATTCTCTGCTGCTTTCTCCTCTGCTGGTCTCTTTCTTCTGGACTCTGACCTGCCTGCTGGACCCTGCTCTCAAACTCGACATGCACTGCACACTCCAGGCCCCAGGGGTGTCCGTGGGGCTGCTCCCGGGACTCACTCTGGGTCCCCAGGTGGCCAGCCTTCTCACTCTAGCTTCTTGTCTTTTTCAGGGTTTCTCTCCTTATCTGAAGATTTTGATTATTTATTCTGACCTGTAGCCAGTCAGTGGGTTCATTCTATTAAACCTTTCTGTGGAGTTCTCAATTTCAGTTAACTTTATTTTTCTTTTGTAGAATTTGTTTGCTTCTCTTTGGAATCAGCTGTGCCAGCTTTTATAGTTTCCTGTTTCCTGCACTTCCTTTCATGTTTGTGTTCGTGCCTTGGACTGTGGGGACCTGTTGGATCAGACTGTTCAGTCTCTGTGTAGGACCAGCTGCTGCCTGTCACAGACTGTGTCACGCCTGACTCCAGCTAGGTGTCTGCCCCTCACACGGGGACAGAGCCCTCCCCGCACTGCTGCGTGCTTCCTGTCCGCGGCCCGCTCGCCTCCTCGTGCTCCCCCTCTCCCGCCCGCTCTTCGCCCGCAGCCCCACTCACGGCAGTGGGTACTTCTTCCACAGCAGCTTGGCCGGCAGCGTCTGGTACACGGTTTTCTGCTTCCCGTCTGAGCTGGGGCTGCTGGGGCTGCTCTGCACGATCTTAGCACACTCCATCTGTTCGTCCCAGGAGCCTGACAGCACATAGTGGGCCTTGCCCTGGCTGTCACTCACCACTCCTGTCACCTGTGGGCATCGGCAGGGCCAGTGTGGGCATGTGCCCTGCTCCGGGGTCCCCCAAGACTCGGAGAGGTGGCCGTGCTTACCTTCCGGGCCACCTCTTTGGAGAAATAGCTGTAGGGCAGGAACTTGAGCTGACACCGGTCCTGTGTCTTGTGGTTCACAATCTCAATGTCCCCTGTCTGGAGACGGAGGGGGTGGTCAGTGGCTGACACCTGCCTGGGCCAGTGGCTCCTCCCCTGGGGCACCCCCTGACCTGGTCAATCCAGAGCTTGCCCACGATGATGTTATGCACAGTCGAGGTGCTTTTCCTCCACACGTAGTGATTCCCACTGGCCTGGAATTCTAAGTGGATAGCACCTGGAACCCAGACACAGGGTCAGAGGTCATAGCCTGCTATGCTGGGTCCCAGCCAACCTGCCCCACCCACCCATGATCCTGGGGTCCTGAGGACCAGAAGCAGTATTTGTACAGGCTGGGGACAGGGCGCAGGCCAGGGGGGGATCCAGGAGGGCTGTGTGGGGGCTCGCGTTACCCTTGGAGGCCCCAGGCTCTGCCCACCCTCCCCCTCCCCCAGCGCATCTTCTGCCCCTGCTCACCTAGTGGCATAATGGAGAGGTATTTCCCCCGGAACTTGCTGGCGATAGTGATCTCCTGCCAGAGGCTCCAGCCGTGCCTGGAGAAGACGTAGTGCGCAGCGGACGGCGGGTGGTGGCTCACCTGAGACCAGGCCCACGGGTCTTGAGCGTCTGTGGACCCGGCCCAGGCCCCTCCCCAGACAGCTGGGGGCAGCGCCCCATGCCCAGTGTGAATGGCTGTATGGCCGTGGGAGTCACAGATGCACAGGGGGCCCTGGACCCCCAGAAAGGAGAGCCGCACAGCAAGGGCGTGGCAGTGGGGCAGCCTGGGTGGGTGGAGGCAGGGCGGGCGCCCCACCCCTGCGGGCCTGAGCCAGGGGCCTGGGGGTCTCTACACCTTAACCTGACTTGGGCTGTGGGGCGGGGTGGCAATGGGGTGAATAAGTGAGCGTGACGGGCTCTAGGGGGCCTGCGGGCCACTCTCCAGTCACGCTGCACCTGGCCCGCAGAGGCCTCGTCTGCTGCGCTGCGTCGAGGCCGCCCCCAGCCAGCCTGGATCCTGCCCAGCCCGATGGTGGTGCCACCTGCTCAGCCCACCGGGCACCTCCACCCGTCCTCTCCTCCACCAGGCACCCTGAGCATGTCTTGATGAGGACACCACATCCACTGCATCAGCGTTTCCGCACCCGGTCCTTCTCGTCTCTGTGGCTCCTGATCTCAGGGTTGGGGTGAAGCCCCTCCTTGCGGCCACCTGGAGCGGCAGCTGTGGGCTCAGCCCTCCCCCAGAAGCTCCTAACACTCCCCACAGCGGCACCCCCTTCCTTCCACAGCCCAGACCTGCCAGCCGCCCCTGGGTGACGAGTGAGCTGCCAGGGCCCCCTCTGAAGCCCACCCCCACAAACTCAGGACGTGACCCCGCGCCCTGGAGCTCTGCTCAGCCTCCTCCTCGGGCAGATGGTCCCGTCCGTCCGGCGCTCACGCCAAATGCCTGGCCCCTCTTCTCACACTCCTCTAATCCTTAGCAAATCCTGGCTGTTCTTTATTTTTTTTCTGGCTGTTCTTTAAAACGGCATCCAGAACCCGCCCTGCCTCCAGCTCGCCTGCTCCAGCCTTACCCGCTGCACTCTCCCCATGGCAGTGCGGGGTGGGGGTTCCCCATAAAACGGCCTCCTCTCCTCCAGTGATGCCTCCACACAGAGAAAAACCAGAGGCCTCCTGCCGCCCGCTCCCCTCTCTCTGCCCTCAGCGGCTGTCTCTCCCCCAGTCTGTCAGCCAAGCTGCTCCCAGACCACCCCCTTCCTAAAAGAGCCAGAACCATCCACTCACACAGTATCTATCCCCGCCCTGGCCCCTGAGACCCCTCAGCGCGAGCACCTCCTGGTTCATCGTGGGTTCGGATCAGCTCTGTTCAGCTCAGGCACCCTGGTCATCGCCACCTTCCCCAGCCCCCTCCTCACACCACCCCTCCGGAAGGCGCGTCTGCCCGACCTCTGACCTCCCCTGGTCGGGCTTTCCACAGGCCCACGCAGCAGGCCGAGCCCGCCTTGGAAACCAGCCACCGGGCCGCAGACTGTTGGCGTCCTGGGCCCGCGGTAGCGGCCGACACTGAGGAGACCTCAGCGGCAGCCCGACCCGGTCTGTTCTGACTGCCTTGTCCCCCCAGCACGCGGTGCGGACCGCTGCAACCACCCTTCTGCAGACGAGGGTGCCAGGGTGGGGCCTGGGGCTCCTCACCCCTAGCCTCCGCCATCGCTGACCCCAGCCCACAGGGCGCAGGCCTGCAGCTCAGCGGAGACCCCAGCCGCTCTAGGCCCCCTGGCTCCCTGACGGCACCCTGCAGAGGCCCCTGCCCCACCGCTCCTGGCCGCAAGGGGCATCCTCCCCCCGGTGCTCCTCCCACGCGGCCCCCCTGTCCCTGGAAGCCTGCTCCATGGGTACCCCGGACCTGCCCCCGACGGGAGACCCAGCTGCCTGACCTGACCTCAGGCTGATGGCTCCCGGGGTCAGTCCGTGTCCCGTTGGTCTGACCCTGACCCCCGGCCCAGCTGGAGCGGCGTGGGCCTCACCTGCTCGCAGAGGGAGCGCAGGCCCATGTCCTCGAGTCGGTCCAGCTCGAAGGTCTCACCCAGCATGGGGTTGAAGGGCTTGGCGATGCGGTGCACAGTGGTGGAGTAGGAGGACACGGAGAAGGCGGCCACGAGGCACATCTGCTCCGCCGCGCTGCAGCAGCGCGCCGCCTTATCCAGCAGCTGGTGGTACTCCAGGTCCTCCGTCAGCCGCTGCAGCATGGACAGGGGCTCGTTGAAGTTCACCTGCAGCGGGCATGGGGTCAGTCCGGGTCTGCATGGGCCGTCCACCACTCCCAGCACAGACCTGGGGTCGTCCCCACAGCCTTGCTCCTCTCCAGTCCAGGGACGTCACTGGGAGGCCCCCTGCTGCCCTGCCTCCCCACGCCCCGCCTCCGTTTTCTCCAAGTCCTCACCACGGTCCGCCCTGCGGCCCTGGCAGACCTGTCAGGTTACCTTCAGTTTCCCCTCCCAGGATGCAGGCGCCACGGCAGTGACTCCTAGGAGTCAGGGGCCGAACGAGTGAGTGAGTGGAAGACATGGGTCCACCTCGTGTTCTGAGCTGTCGTGCAGCTTTCTGCCCTGGGTCACAGAGTGACATCAAGTCTGACCTGGAGCCCCGGCTCCCCTCTGTGGAGAGGCCGCTGGGGTCGGCAGTGCGGGGACCTCGCTGTGGTGGGGACCCAGGGCAGCCCAGCTCGGAGCGGGCAGGCCTACTTGGCCCACACCCAGCCCAGCCCTGCCATTCCCCTCCTGCCGGGGCAGGCGGCGGTCTGTGAGCCCCACATCTGATCAGCAGAGCCCTCCCAGGCTCCTTCCCAGAGTCTGAGACCTTTACCCTGGGGGAACGTCAGGAGTGCGGGTGGACTGACTCAATACTGCCTTACGTGCTCAAGTGTGCCATTAAGAAAATGACCCCAGGGCTGCGTGCACTTCCCATGGGTCATCGCTTCCCCTCCAGGCGTGAGCACAGCCCCCCTAGGGCCCCTGCCTGGCCCCTACCGGCATGGGGATCTTGGAGAGCTCCCGGCCGATGCAGTTCTTCATGATGCTCCAGAGATTAAGGCTGTAGTTGGGCTTGTCGGGGATGCGGACACGCCTCTTGACTTTGGGAGGCCCCTGGGGCACAAGTGAGGCATCATCTAGCATCTGCCAGAGAAGCAGAGTTTGCCTGTCAGCCCGTTGCTGGCGGAAGGGGCAGGCTCTGCCTGAGTTCAGGTGAAGGCACCCAGGGTGCAGGACCCCCCAGGGGCCCGAGGTCAAAGTGCCGCCTCCCTACTCCCCCGCCCAGGATCCCCTCACTCACGTTGTCTGCGGTCCATTCCACGGAGCCTGTAGTCCCTGGCTCAGCTTTTCTGTGGGAAACACAAACAAGAAGGTAAGTTGTTTACAAATCCCGAGGCCTCCTGGGGACCTGACCCCCTTCTACCCAGCCCCCTGGGCAGTCAGAATTTTAAAAAAACTGTTTCAAATACTATTGGGAAACAGAAGATGAGTTGGAAATACACTGTTGAGCCACCAGATTCCCTCGGGTAAGAGGACGGCAACCAGGCCTCTCCCTGGAAGAGCCCAGGGCAGGGAGGCAGCGAGCCACGCTGGTCCACGCAGGCAGAGCAGCCGCCACAGGATTCCACCCCTCCTGGCCTGGTTGGGTTTTGAGGGGCCTGGGATGGCTGCCTGGGGTGGGGGCAGTGGCACAGGCGTGGGTCTGGGGCTGCCAGGACGCCTGACGCGCCTGGGGTCAGGCAGGGAGCATGTGGTGGGCAGGGGGCCGCATGGCTGCCGCGGGCAGTTCTGTCGGCGTCCCCGGGACTTGGAGAGGCAGCTCCTCCCCAGGTCGAGGTCGGGGCCCCCATGCCAGCCAACACAGCCCCCCCACCCCGGCCCTCTGACCCCTTCGGTATCAGGACCTAAGGCACCCTGGCGAGGCCTGTGCCCTAACCCTGTGGAGCCCGTGCTCCCTGCCCACAGCCTCGCCTCACTCTGCTCCCTCCAAGCACATCCTGCCAGCTCAGGCCGCAGGCCTGGGCGCGTCCTGGGGGCCCCAGGGACTGGCAGCCTGGCCGTCAGCTGTCCCGGCTACTACTAATGTGTATTCAGAAAGATCCTAAAAGAGCTAGCTTTTACGAGAAATGAAACAAAAGCTTCGAGATGGAGAATGAGAGGCTTCCTGTCTCTGGTCTGCTCTGGAATGCTGACAGAGAGCCCGGGACCCTGCAGCTCTGCGGCGGGCAGCGCCCTGCTCTCCGTTTAAAGTGGAATCCCCGTACAGACGTCGTCTGGGCATTTTTGATTCAAGAAGGCACGGAACCTAGCCTCAGCAAGACCAGCGCCTGGAGCAAGCCTGAAAAGAGAACCCGGGTGCAGAGCCCGAGGCGGCCGAGGAGGAGGCGGCGCCGCCGCCGCGCCCACCTGTCCTCGCTGGGCTCGGTGATCACGGTGATGAAGGACGCCGAGTCTTCCATGGCGTCGAAGTACTCGGTGTTCTCATCCTCCTCGCTGTCCTCGCCTCTGCTGGTTAAGAGGCTTCCTAGGGGCACACACCGTCGCCACCTCTGTCAGCAGTCTCGCCTGCCCCCGCCCCCCGCCCCCGGGGCAGTCCCGAGCCCGCATCACCCACCCGAGCTGCCCTGCTCCCTTCCCCAGAACGCGCTTTCCCCTCAGCCTTCTGCTCAGGGAGCCTCCCTCTTTCCGGAAGCTTCCCCCGCTCTCCCTGGACTGAGTGGCCCAGCTTCCCTTTCCCGGGGCGCCTGTGACCTCCGAGCCCCAGGTTAGGTGAGCGGCACCTGGCGCCCGGGAAGGGCAGCCACGGGGCTCCTCTGGAGCCTGTGCCTGTCACGGGGGTGCCGGGGCGCAGGGGCGGGCAGCAGGGGCGCATGTCCGCGGGGGCCGCGGGAGCGGACCCAGCCGGCGGAGGGGGAGCCGCGGGTGCTGGGCGGGTGGACGGGCGCCCGCTCACCCTCGCTGAAGCTCTTGCTGGGGTTGGCGGCCCGGCCTGGGGCGCTGCGGAAGGCGCGCTCGAGGCTGTTGTGCTGCTTGGCCAGCTGCTCAATGGTCTCCTCCAGGTGGACGCGCTGCTCCTGCTCATACTGCAGGGCGCGCTGCCATTTCCGGCTGTGCGTCTCCGCTAGCTCCAGGAAGTCCCTGCAGGCCTGGGGGGCGAGGGGCGGCTCGTGAGCAGAGAGGGAGGCCCCGGGGCAGCCATCCCCAAAGGGCTCAGAAACACCCGCGCTGCCCCCGGTGCCTGTCGTGGGGTCAGGAGACCCCGGCTTTCTCAGAGCCAGCCTGGCGTCTGCCCTGGTTGGCAGCCCACACTTGAGACGCCCTTCGAGAGCAGCAAGCCCGGTGCTGCCAGCCGCAGCCAGCACACTGGGTGTTTCTCAGGGCGGGGCCCCAGCTTTGCTGTGGCCGAAGTCTGTCACAAGCCCGTTCCCGCTGGAAGCAGCGCGCTCCTGGCAGCCCGGACCGGACCCTGACTTGGGTGCAGAAGGAAGGAAAGCCACCCAGAGCTAAAGGGTCTTGTCCAGCAAAGGAGACGTGAAGTTGCTCAGTCGTGTCCCAACTCTTTGCGACCCCATGGACTGTAGCCCGCCAGGCTCCTCTGTCCGTGGGGTTTTCCAGGCAAGAATGCTGGAGTTGGTTGCCATTTCCTTCTCCAGGGGATCTTCCCCACCCAGGGATCGAACCCGGGTCTCCTGTGGGCAGGCAGACTCTTTTTACCGTCTGAGCCTCCAGGGAAGCCCCCAGTTCCAGCAAAGGAACTGGGACTCAGAACTTTCTACCAAGTTACCACAATCTGTCACACGTCAGCTCTGCTTCTGAGGTGCCCTTCAGACTTGTGCCCACTATGACATCCAGATTCTGTTTAGCCTCCTAGGCCCACAGGTGGTTCCAGCACCCGCTAAGGAAGCAGGGGATGGTCATTCTGCCCCCATCACCACAGTGGAGAGGAGGGCCTAGGCCTCTGTTGTCCCTGGAGGGCAGAGAGCTCCGAGCCGGACACCTCTGGACTTGCCCTTTCTGGACCCCTCTCGTGCTCAGAAGGGACACTGGCTCCCAGCCCAAGAGGCATGGGTGGTCTCAGGCCGCCACCCCCACCGGCCACTGGGCTCCATGAACATCGCACGTGGCCCCTCCCCAAGGGTTAGAGCTTTGTCCTGTAGGGAGAAATGCACGGGGCCCCTCACTGGCCACAGGGACCACGCAGCACGACCTGAAGGGCCGCTGGGGGAGTCAGGGGGGTGATGTGGAATTCAGGGCCTGGGAGCACTTGACGGACACCCTCTTCAAGGCCGGCCCCGAGCACGTGCCTGCACCCTGGCTGGTGGAACGGGCCCTGGCCTGGGGCTCCAGAGGGCCGGCTGCTCAGCTGGCTCTGCACGTCGCCCCTTAACAAGCGCTTCCCAGGCACCTTCCCTCCGTCACCCCATCTCCTCTCACCCCACCCCCCGCAGCACGCAGCGGGCAGGGCTCCCTTCAAGGAAGCCAGAAAAGGGTGAGCAATCAGAGTGGGGATGGCAGACTCCTGCATGGGCCACTCGGCTGCTCTGGGCACACGTCCTGTCCGTGAACCACAACAGGAATGCCCCGCAGACCCTGTCCCTGCTCGTCTCCTCAAGGTGGGAGGAGAGGGGCCGTCCCTGTCTGACAAAAGAGCAAACAAGCTCAGTCCCCAGCAGCTGCCCTGCAAGGCTCTGGGGAGGGGGGCGTGTTCAGGGGCCCCTGCCCTCCCTCGCAGGTCGGATCCCTGCCCGGTGACACCTAAGCCACTGTAACGCGCTTCTCAAGCGTGGCAGGGATTTGTGGCAGGTGTCCCGACACGGGCTGGGAGAGGGAGAGACTGGTGGGGAAGGGAGGAAAGCTCCTTATGCGCTCAGCAGGCTCGAGGTGAGAGGCTGCACCCGGCCCTGTAAGGCTCACCACCCCCCTAGAGTGGAGCTGCCACACGACCTGGGGATGCCGAGGTGGGTCTGGGGAGGCCCCGCGGCAGGCCCAGCTCTCCTGCTCCCAGGTTTGTGACCTGGAGCCAAGCCTTCCCACCCTGGGTCCCACAGGCCCCCAGCTCCACCCCTGCCCCGCCTCTCCTCACAGTAAACCTCAGGGCAGGGGCCCTGACAGCAGCCGCTGACAAACCCCCGCCGGGGCCAGAGCGGAAGGCACCTCGCTGCTGGGACTGCCCTGGCAGGTTAAGAGGTGGCAGAGGGGCGCGAGGGCCAAGCACCCCTCAGAAACGTCCCATGTGCTTACAGGATCCCCAGGATCCCAGGTCCGTAACCCAGAGCTCGGCCCACCCCAGCTGAGCTGCCGGCCTTCAGTGACCCAAAGGCATGTCAGCCTTCCCCTGCTGACCCCAAGCGCGGCCCAGCGCCCCGTCAGGTTTGTCTGGACTCCGGCCACCTATTTGCCACCTGAGGAGGAGCCCTGACCACAGTGATGCTGGTCCACTCTGCTGCTGGTCTGGTCAGCTCTCGGGCCGCAGAGCTGGGCGTGTCGTGGTGTCAGAAACTCACCCCAGAGGCCTGGCATTGGCGGGAGGGGTGTGCCTTCGTCTCCTTGGGCCCACCGCTTCAGGGAGGACCCTTGCTGGGGGCTCCTGTGCCCCCGAAACTGAGGCCCAGGGGGAGGCGCTGCCTAGGCCAACAAGGGGCGAGCAGCGCAGGATGCCAGGGCCCCGGCTGACCTGTCTTGGGTGGGGTGTGAAGGGACCAGGGCTGTGTCAAACGTGGGGCCCTGTTACGGGTGACACACGTGGGTGCTCACCGTTTTCTGGTTCCTGGGGTCTGGGGGGACCCTGCCCGCTGGCACTTCACCTGCCCCATCGGACTGGTTTGGCAGCTCTAAAAGGGCCTCTGGCCTCGCCTCTGCCTGATAAGCATTGCTCCGTGGGACCTGCTGCCATCACCCCCCCCCAACACTGCACAGTTCCCGCAGGCACCCCTCGAGTTTTAACATAGGTGGATGCTTCGCTTTTATATAACTCAGAGCATTTAAAACAATCCTTGTGAAAGAGCCACAAACAACCAAAGTATAAAACAACCAAAGGTCAAGCTACGTAGTTCACACAGACTCAGAGAACTCCACATGGCCTCAGCTCCCTACCAGCAAAGGCAAAGAGGGGAAGATGGAAAAATGACTGTATAGCACGGGGAACGCTTGTCAGTACCTTGTGTTAACTTGTCAGGGGAAAGAATCGAAGAAAAATGAATAACTGAATCATTTTTCTATACACCTCAAGTTAACACAACAATGTAAATCAATTTAAAAAAAGGGACTTCGATAGTGGTCCAGTGGCTAAAATTTCACACTCCCGATGCAGGGGGCCCCAAGTTTGATCTCTGGTCAGGGAAACAGCCCCTTGCACGCTGCAACTAAAGATCCTTTGTGCTGTAGCTAGGACCCAGTACAGTCAGATACTTTTTTTAAAAAGTGACAAAGCCAAGGAGGGAAAGATGATTGTGGTATGAAGATGAATTAGGCTCCCTTCCACAGAAACAACCCCTTTCTTGCCCAGCTTCTCTCAGACCTGATCCCAGACCCCCTCCACACTCATCTCCAGGGCCCCGTCCTTCCCCACACGCTGCCTCCCATGTGGCCCCCGTGTCTTCCTCCCCTTCTCCAGCCCCACCACCCTCTGATCCCCCCACAGGTTGGGGATAAGGGGTGTCGGGGGGCATCCTCACAAGCACTGAGGAACCACTACAAGTGTGGTGAGGAGGATGTGCAGCTCAGGGAGGCCAAGGGACCTGCTCAAGACTGCAGGCTGTGCTTGTAGGGCCAGGGTCTGAGTCTCCCTTGTCAAGCTGGATCCTTATGCCTGTCTGGGCGCCCCTTGGGCTGGTGTGGCCTCCAGGGTCTCCCTGCCATGGAGCCGGGCTCCTCAGGATGCTGCCCCGCCTGGGCCCTGCAGCTGCGGCTATTGCCGGCACAGCCAGGGCTGCCTGCTGAAAACCCAGGGGCCCCCACCTCACCGCCTCTGAAGGACAGGCCGACATGGAGCCACAGAGGCAGGGAGTTCAGGGCTGCCTCTGGACCTGCTGGGCTGGGCCGTTCCCACCGACGCCAGGGCTCAGGGGTGGGGGTCATCTACAGGTGATGGGAGCCCGCGCCTCCGCCGCCCTGAGCTGCCTACCTGTGTCTGTCCCCAGAGGTAGCGGTTTCCCCTGAGGCTGCTGCCCTTCCCCAGGCCCCATCCCGGCAGGCGCAGAGGAAGGCAGGGGCTGGCCTGGCCCCGCTGCCCAGAATGCTGAGCTGTGCTCGCTAAGCTGGATTAGGCCTGGGGCCCAGTGATGGGCAGGCAGCCGGGGGTGGCTCCCAGCAGCCCCAGGAGGGCCTGGCTGACCCTGGCTGAGAGCACGGTCACATCTCATCTCCCTGAGGCCCTGTCCTGTCCTTCAGACCCCGTGCCCCGCCCTGTATAGAAGCAGCGCCCCGGGCCGCTGCAGAGCCCCCCACACTGCCCTGGGCCTGCACTGGGACCCCTCACAGCATTGCCGCCCACCCAGGGGCAGGCCTGTGAAGGCAGCTGAGGGCTGCCCATCTGGGGAGCCCATTGGGGCCCAAGGGAAGTGGCTGCCGATAACCCCAGCAGGTGTCCCATGGGGCAGACACTGAGGGTCTGGGCTGTGTCCCTGGCCCAGCTCCACCCAGGGGAAGGAGGATGCGCATTAATTGCTTTTGTCCCCCCTAATCCTAATCCTCATCGCAGCCACAGCCTCCCTGCTCCCCACATGTGGGCGGGAGAGCAGGGCATTGGGCCTCCGCCTGGGTCTCTACGCCCCCTCTCCGTGTGGCCCAGGGAGTCTCCCAAAGTCTAGGAGGGTCTGCAGAGCTGGGAGCCCTGCTCGGGTCCGGCCTTCCCAGCGGCTGCTCAGAAACCATTGGTCTGCTGCCTGGTCATGGCCGCCCTGGCTGGGCCACGAGGAGGGTGCCGGGGAGTCTGTGGGTGTCGACGGTGGCCCTCAGAGCCACAGAGGAGGTGGGGCCAAAGGCCAGATGCCCAGGGCCGGGTGGGGCAGGGGCCCTGGGCCACAGGACCACCTCAGAAACGGTCCAGCCCTCGACACCCAGCAGGTTCCGCTGGCCCGGCTCGCAGGGAGGATGCAGGGACGGTCCATGCCTCCCCCTGCAGCAGCCAGGCCCTGCCCGGGGCGGA